CCACCACAGCCAAATTAGATGTCATTGGAGAGGCTTTTGCTCTGCTGGCTTGACACAGAAACAGAAAAGTGTCGAGCGATCTGGGGTGGGGAGAGCAAACCCTTTCCACACAAGGCGTTGAACTTGAGCGTCTTCACCCCTTGCCAGGAAACTGACAAAGCCCTCCCTGCAAAAAAACCCCAGCCATCTCGTGCCCAGGAAACACAACCAGCCAGGGGCAGCGGCAGCAGGACCAAGATAAATATTAGTATTGCAGAGGACACGAAGGAACCAGAGTCCTTGGGCGTGCTTGTCTTCTCTGCACCCAGGCTGTTTATAAGAAGTTCCAAATGTTTAGAGGATTTGCGTTCCTGGTTAAGAGTACAGAGTGCGGAAAGGAAGAAGGGGAAAATGCAGTGTCGTCCATCACTCCCCGAAAGCGCAGCGAAAACACACAGCGTTCAGACCACCCACCTTTTTTGCAATTTACACTTGGGCGAAGAAGTTTCCTTTCGTCTGGTTCCGAAAATTCTCGCTGGCCAGTTTCGTCAGGCCGGACTGTGGCCAAGGCATGAGAAATCCACTCTACGCCATTCATAATTTTTATAAAACCTCTGTTGTGAAAGCACACTTCAAACATCCTGCTTTGGCCAAGCCATTTGTCTCCAGCCATTATGGACCCCCCCTTGTTTTACTTGTCTGGAACATGGGGCCTGTTTTGATTTTACCGTATATGTCCCTGATCTTTTCTCTCATCCCCCTTGAAAGAAAGGAAGTCTTCTGCAGTGGTAAAACACAGCCCTCATGAAAACAGGGCTCTGTCCCAGCTATTCAACCTCAGGGCTAGATTGCAGCAGCAGCAGGAGACACTTTGCAGGGCTTCCCTAGCGCTTGGTCTGGAAAAACTGCAGCCAAGTGCAAAATGCGCTAGCGGTTCGGGAAGAGACTCTGCACGGCTGCAGTGCTGGGAGACATTTATTGTTTAGAGAAAAGGTGAGCTAAGAGGCGAAATGATATGAGGTTTATAGGATGTCTGGCATGGACAAAGTGAATAATAATAATAATAATAATAATAATAATAATAATAATAATAATTTATTATTTATACCCCGCCCATCTGGCTGAGTTTCCCCAGCCACTCTGGGCGGCTCACAATTGAGTGTTGAAAACAATACAGCATTAAATATTAAAAACTTCCCTAAGCAGGGCTGTCTTCAGATGTCTTTTAAAAATAGGATAGCTTCTTATTTCCTTGACATCTGATGGGAGGGTGTTCCATAGGGCAGGCGCCACTACCGAGAAGGCCCTCTGCCTGGTTCCCTGTAACCTCACTTCTCGCAGGGAGGGAACCGCCAGAAGGCCCTCGGAGCTGGACCTCAGTGTCCGGGCTGGACGATGGGGGTGGAGACGCTCCTTCAGGTATACTGGGCCTGAGGCCGTTTAGGGCTTTAAAGGTCAACACCAACACTTTGAATTGTGCTTGGAAACGTACAGGGAGCGAATGTAGGTCTTTCAGGACTGGTGTTATGTGGTCTTGGTGGCCACTCCCAGTCCCCAGTCTGGCTGCCGCATTCTGGATTAGTTGCAGTTTCCGGGTCACCTTCAAAGGCAGCCCCATGGAGAGTGTGTTGCAGTAGTCCAAGCGGGAGATAACCAGAGCATGCGCCACTCTGGCGAGACAGTCTGTGGGCAGGGAGGGTCTCAGGTCCCTCTAGAACTCGTGGAATGTTGGAAGGTTTGGGGCAGATGAAAGGAAGGACTTTTTGGCTCTCTGGGTAGCTCAGTTGGTAAGAGCACAAGACTCTTAATATCAGGGCCCTGGGTTCGAGCCCCACGTTGGGCAAATTTCCTGCCGTGCAGGAGGCTGGACTAGACAACCCTCGTGTTCCCTACAGTTCTAAGATTCATGAGGTGCATTGTTAAAAATTATGGAACTCACTCCTCCAGGAGGCAGTGATGGCTTGGATCACAGTGTGGCTTTCGAAGAAGATGGGGGGAAAGGGTGTCAATGGTTACTAGTTGGAGGCAGCAACACTCCCCAATACCAGTTGCTGGAAATTGCAGGAGGGGAGAGTTGCTCTCAAGCCTATCCTTCATTTCCCACGGGGATCTTTTTGGCCGCTGTGGGATCAGACGCCGGACGATGATGGGAGACTGGCCTGATCCACAAAGCTAGTCTTATATTCTTGTAACGCTTTTGCCTAGAGAGCTGCGCTACGCCTCACCAGTGTCTCAAGTGACCAAAAAACGAAATTGCTGCTCCTTAGTGACATCTGGTGGCTTGTCAGAAACCAGGCCTTTATAAAGAAGGAAGAGACAACTCAAATATATGCGAATTAAGACACTTTAGACCGTGGGTAGGCAAACTAAGGCCTGGGGGCTGGAGCCGGCCCAATCGCCTTCTAAATCCGGCCCGGGAATCAGCGTGTTTTTACATGAGTAGAATGTGTCCTTTGATTTAAAATGCATCTCTGGGTTATTAGTGAGGCTTGCCTGGTGTTTTGACATGAGTAGAATGTGTGCTTTTATTTAAAATGCACCTCTGGGTTATTTGTGGGGCATAGGAATTCGTTCATTCCTTTTTCCAAAATATAGTCCGGGTCCCCACAAGGTCTGAGGGACAGTAGACCGCCCCCCCGCTGAAAAAGTTTGCTGACCCCTGCTTTAGACCAACCCCACCCTGTCAGTCTCTGTCAACCCGGCACCTTCCAGATATTTTGGGTTATCAGCCCCCAGGAAGCACAGATATACGATGCTGGGGGCTGACAGGTAGGAAGGAGGGGGGAAGGAATTGTACTCCCAAACATCTGGAATGGTTGCAGGCCTGAGAAAATACAAAAATATCCAAGAAACAGAAATATTGGTAGTACAGGTTTAAGTGCTCTGATCTGCAACAAAGCCAACAGCTTTGAAAGCAGGCCGTGAAGAGTTTGGCATCTAGATCTTGCTCTGCCCGTTAAGATCTCTCCTCCACACGCCCAATTGTGGGGGGACCCCATTACCAACCCCCCCCTTACACCAGCTTTTTTGCTTGCCCCGATTGGGAGAAGAGACAGCCGCTCAGCTCTCCCTACCACACTGATGGGTTGGGGTGAATGGTTCGCAGGTTGGCTTGCAAATAGGATGGAGGTGGTAGAAGGGGGGGAAACTGTTCTAGTGTCACAAGAGAGATCTGTATTCCATCTAAAGGCATCCTCTTTTCCCATTTCGAAACGGGAATCTCGGATCCCTCCCAGAAACTTTTATCATGATGATTTTAGAATACTGAAGTAACACCTAGCGCCCAGCGGTTAGTTCTTGGCAGCCGGCTAAATAATTCCCGCCCTCTGAACCACAGAGAATGAGTTCCTTTGCATGGATTTACAAGGAAGGAGATTCCGACTAAACATTAGGAAGAACTTTCTGATGGCAAAAGCTGTTTTGACAGTGGGATTCCTCTGAAGGTGCTAAACTCTCCTTCTTGGAGGTTTTTAAGCAGAGGTTGGGTGGATCATCTGTCAGTTCTTTTACCTGAGATTCCTGCTTTGTAGACGGTTGGACCCAATGAATAATAATAATAATAATAATAATAATAATATATTTGTACCCCGCCCATCTGGCTGGGTTTCCCCAGCCACTCTGGACAGCTTCCGTAGAAACCAAAAAACACTAAAATATCATACATTAAAAACTTCCCTGAACAGGGCTGCCTTAAGATGTCTTCTGAATGTCAGGTAGTTGTTTATTTCTTTGACATCTGATGGGAGGGCGTTCCACAGGGTGGGGGCCACCACCGAGAAGGCCCTCTGCCTGGTTCCCTGTAGCTTTGCTTCTCGCAATGAGGGAACCGCCAGAAGGCCCTCGGCGCTGGACCTCAGCATCCGGGCAGAACGATGGGTGTGGAGATGAGCAGAAGATCCCTTCCAACTCTATGACTCTTAAGAAACAAACTCAGGGCTAGTGATATCCATGCACTTGTGTATCCCAGGGGACATAACTGCTGGAATTTTTGTTACCCGCCCCAACTCTATTGAAAAAGGGAAGGGAGAAAACAGGCCAAGAAGTATGTTGGCGTTTTTTTTTTTGTTTTTTTTTTGTAAGGAACAGATTTTATTCCAATTTCAAACAATTTTTATTTCAGGAGAAAGATATGAAAATCGATTTCCATCAGGTACTTCTAAACAACGAGGGTCAGCACCCAGCAGACGAGAGAAACTGATGGATTTCCGGGAAGGCCCCGATCCTGCCTCACAGACTGGACAGAAATAAAGAGAGAGACAAGGACGGGGGGCCAAAAAAATTGATCCCGGGCCACATGATTCAGAATCCCTTCCCACCCACCCCTGCCCCCCCCGTCACGCGTTAAACATCACATGCAATTTTCAAAATGACGAAAAGGTTCCCCCACCCTCCCTTTTAAAAACAGCATTTTTTTTAATATATATAGTAGTTTTCTTTCTCTTTAAATAGGATGTTTAAACGTTTCTTCTTTTTAAATCAGGATCTCTTATAATATACAAGTATAACCAAATAATTTTTCACCACACTTGTTAAGAGAGTCTCTGGTAACTAAAGGGAAAAAAAAAAGAAAAGTATGGGGGGCATTGGCACAAACCATAAACGCTTAAAAAAAATTTACACACACGCACACACATACATACAGAGAGTACTGAGTTACAGACTTGAACCTCTGTTGGACTCAAAACCACCTTTTTGCTTTCAGTGAAGCGCAGTACAAATTAATGGCCAGAAGTAGGGGGAAAGCATTTGTTTTTTAAAAGTAGTTATAAAAAGCAAAACAAAAACAGTGTGCAGGGGATGAACTAAACATGCAACTGAAGGCAATGAACAAACAAGTAATTCTTCGCTTCCGGGAAGGGGAAGGGAAGAAGTAGAAGGGAGAGGGGTTGTTTGCCGGAGGGGCTGATCACAAGGAAATGGAATGATGGCGGGTGTGTGTACTTTTTGACAATCCTCTTCCTAAAAGGAGGTGAAGGGGTTCGAGAGCAGGCGCCTCTTTAGTAGGACTTGGGGGTTTTTTTCGTTTAAAGTGCACTGTGATCAGAACTTGGTCAACAGGTTGCTCCTTCATCTCGGCTTTTTTTTTTTCCTTTTTCGAGTTTCTCCACCACCACCACACGCGAGAACTCCTAGGTCCTTGGCCCCTGGCACATCTGAAACCCCAAACCAGCTCCCGTCGGGTGGGCTGGGGAAAGAGGGAGGGCGCTGTGGGATGGCTTTGGCACATCGAGAGCAAGCGATGACCGGGCTTGAGGGACGGGTCGCCCGTTGCAAAAGCTGGTCCGTAAAAGGAGGCTTCATAACAGCACCTGTGTGGGGGTGGGTGTCGCTCGCAAGAACCAACATTGCCTTCACGACATGCGCCTCCCGCTCTGTCCTCGAATCTGCGGCATCGCCCAACAGGCATTTCTCTGCAGAGGGCCACCACCGTCCGACAAGCCAAGCCGGGTTCAGGTAGGGAGCACCGCCCCCCAAGAGTCAATACGAGAGACGCTAAGCTCAAGAAACTGGCTTCCTGGCTCCTAGATTTCTCAGGTACACACGTCCAATGCCTGCAGCGGACGTTGCAGATCGAGGTGTGCAAAAGACTCCAGGCGGCGAGAGGAAAGCCATGGCACGTTTGCAACTGCAGAACTTCCCCTTGTAGAGTTGGCAAGATCACAAAAACGGACACGGCCGAAGCAGGAAGGCCCTCCCCTCCCTCACCGTTGTCACTCCCCACCCCCCAAAACCCCCACACACATTTAGACAAAATCAGGAATGTTATTTTAGAAAGCAGAGGCTGCCATGCCCTTCATCGACTCAACAGGACCTCTCAGCGTGAGCGGGATTCCTCCTCCTCCGTCTCCCAAGTGAAGAACTTATCAGGTTCATGGTGCTGGGTGTGCGAGAGAAGCCAGGAATCCCCTTCCAAAAAACCAAAAAGCAACGAAACAAGAAATACGGCTCACTTCTGCTTCCTTCTGTAGTGTTTGGTGACGTGGAGCAGACCCAGAAAAACCTGGAGGCAGCACTCTGCGCCTCAACCCCCCCTGGAATGCTGCAGGTATCCACGTGCAATTAGGGTTTTTTAGTAGTGTCGAGAGAAAAATGCAAAAAGAAGTTTACCTAGTGTTGCCCTAAGCGACGTTTAAAAGCACGTTTGACACTCCCTTTGCTGGCCCAACCCGGCCGTTCGGAAATACGTAGACGTCTCAGGCTGTCCTCCGTAGCTTCTGAGAAATTGGCTGTGAGCGCTCCTTGAAGCCACATTAGTGTTTGTCTTTACTTCCTCGCATCCAGAGGGGGCGACTTAAAAAGCTCCCCTGCCCTCTCGAAAACGTCCCTTGCTCCAGCCCCGTGGCGATTCTCCTTCCTGGCGAACCAGCAAAGAATTTCTCATCGGGGTTGGCTGTGGGTTTTTTGGCACCGTCTCCTGCCGGCTTCACAAAAGCAGGCTTTGCAGAACACGTTTTGGCACAAGAGAGTCCAGAAGCGGAACCCCTTCCTCTTGCCCCGCTTCGAAAAGCTGAAACCGCTGTCTCGGCCAAAGCAGATTCGCCGGTTCCGCCGCCGCTGCAGGTGGGCTCCCCACCCCCAGAATAAATACCTGTGCAACTGCTTCCGGTGGAACAAAGCTTTTGGAAGTTTAAGGGGCGCGGGAGGTTAAGTAGTAGCTACCGCTCACACTAGCCCTGGCAAATGAGGCGGCAATCGGTTGCAGAGAGCTTCCGACTCTTTTCCTAGAACCTTCCAAGATAAAAGCAGCAGCCTCTGCAAGCCACAAAACCTAGTGGATCCTTCCTCGTTTGGATTAACCCTGAAGGATCAACACTTTTTTTGGAGGGGGGTGTCTTACAAACCCAAGCGGTTGCTGGCATGTTGCACACACTCATACGGGCGAGAGAGAGGATCTAGGAGAATGAATCACAACCTCAGATCTCTCTCTCCCAGCCCAATGCAGGGTCCGCTCCCCCGCCGTGCGACACACGCCGAGTCCTCAAGGAGACTCCCTACGGCGAGCTTACTTTTCTCTTAAAAAGATGATACGGCAGCAACAACGTTCAGGCACTTTCCCTCCCCCCGCCCCCCCCGCAGGCTCGTTAGCTATTGCTCGGTTTGTAAGTCTATGAACAACAACAACAAAAGTACGGCGTTATGATGTAGCAAACTATATATAGTACAATAATTTAAAAAAAAGAAATCACAGTCTCAATATAACTTTCATAATTGATAAGGAAGGGAAGAGAATCTATACTAAGGTGGTACAAAAAAATAAACGAGGAAGGAAAAGAGATAGCTTGGTTTTTTGTTTTTTTTTTTGCACTACTGTTAAAAGAGACAGAAGCTCCTGTTCTTCCCAAGGTGTCATCCAGGTAACCCCCCCAAGTCCTTTTTTGGGCAGGAGACGCCAAGGTTCCCGGGCAGAAAAGCAAAGCTGCATCCGAGGAATCGTACGGCACGCGAGGCGAAGGTACAAAGGAGCACCCAGTATCTTCCACGGCCAAGCGAGAGAGAGAGAGAGAGAGCTTGCCAGGCCTTGGCCAAGAAGCCTGCGGACTCCCATCTTATCGCTGGAACAGAAAGGAACAGCAAGAATTGGCTAACGCAGAAGGACAGAGGAAGGCTCGCCTTGGGCTGTCGACCAGAAAGCGGGAAATTAACAAAGTGCGAGAGAGAGAGTGGAAACGTGTCCCCTGTTGGTTTTTTTTAAACTGTGAAATAAAAGCACATTTGTTTGTTGTTGTTTTTAAAAATCATCATCATCATCATCACCAGCTATTCTGTGGAGCAGACAGACTCCATGATGACAAGTGAGCAAACGAAATGAAACGAAAATAACCCCAAAGACCTTGCCACTCCACAGATCAATTTGCAATCATTACATCATTAAAAATCAAGATTCTTCCCCCCCCCTGTACAATTTTTTCTGTTTTGTTTAAATTCACGGGGTTCTCTCGTCTTTTAACTTTCTTCACAACGAAAGGTCTCCCGAGGATACCTGGGGAGGGGGGCGGGTGGGGGGGTGGGGGGAGAAGAGGGCAGGCAAATGAAGGTCAGACTAGGTTATATTCCTTCAAGTTGAGCTGGAGGATGGTGTCCTTGACGGCAGCAAAGACAAACCGAATGTTTTCCGTATCTGTGGCACATGTGAAGTGAGAGTAGATGATTTTGTCGCTGTCGGGGTTTAGATCCACAAACATCTTGAGGATGAACTCCCGAGCCGCCTGGGCGTCTCTCTGGGGGCCTGAGGAGAGACAAGAAAACATGGGATGGGGTTGGAGACAGAAAACATGGGATGGGGCTGGCGTACCAACCATCCAGGAGTGGCAGGCGAAGTTGACAGAATATGCAGAACTTGCCAAATTGTCAGGGAGGATCCGGGACCAGGAAGATCAAAGATACCAAAATAATGGGAGTAAATTTATTGAATATTTAAAGGAGGATTGTAAAGAGGTCAAGACACTAGCAGGATTGACATAATACCTTCAATGTATAATAGTACTAATGTGAGAATGATGTGCACAATAGAAAGAGAGCCAGTGTGGTGTAGTGGTTAAGAGCGGTAGTCTCGTAATCTGGTGAACTGGGTTCGCTTCCCTGCTCCTCCACATGCAGCTGCTGGGTGACCTTGGGCCAGTCACACTTCTCTGAAGTCTCTCAGCCCCACTCACCTCACAGAGTGTTTGTTGTGGGGGAGGAAGGGAAAGGAGAATGTGAGCCACTTTGAGACTCCTTCGGGTGAGTGAAAGCCAGGATATCAATCCAAAAAAACTCTCAATATACCAATTGCAGGGAGGGAGGGGAGTCGCGACTCGGCAGAGTCAAAGGGAATGTATGGCATTAATATGGTTTGTTGGAAAAGAATATGTAAGGAAAACAATAAAAAATTACTTGGGGGGAAAAAGAGAAAACATGGGGGGGGGACAAGGAGGAAAGGAACGGATCCAATTAGGAGATTCCCACTCATGTTTACCCTGGTGTCCCCCCAACCGCTGAGATTTGAGAGGCGGCAGTATTGCTTCTGGTTTAACGGCACAAAAATTTAATCACCGCCTGGGTGTTTCGATTGCTATGGGTCAATTTTAACGGCCCTATTTGCAAACCGAGATTTTATAGGGATAAACGCAAAGGGACTGGTGGCTAATGTGGAGGAGAAGCGAGATAGGCCACACTGATGCGTACGAGCTGAGCACCCCTCAACACTGTCTCCCCATAGCAGCATCCCTGACCACCGGTCCCGCTAGCTAGGGATGAGGAACTCGGTCCAGGAGTATGCCTGATCCTTTCTCAAAGCCATGTCAAGATGGTGGCAATCACCACCGCAGGGGCACAGTTTTCAGAAGCACCCCAACTCCTAAGGGGATTTCGTGGTGAAGAAACGGATTGGTTTAAACCGGCAGGGCCCCATGTACCTTGGCTGAGGTATTATGACATAGGTAGGCAAACTAAGGCTCGGGGGCCGGATCCGGCCCAATCGCCTTCTCAATCCGGCCTGCGGACGGTCCGGGAATCAGCGTGTTTTTACATGAGTAGAATATGTCCCTTGATTTAAAATTCATCTCTGGGTTATTTGTGGGGCCTGCCTGGTGTTTTTACATAAATAGAATGTGTACTTTTATTTAAAATGCATCTCTGGGTTATTTGTGGGGCATAGGAATTTGTTCATTCCCCCCCCCAAAAAAAAATATAGTCTGGCTCCCCACAAGGTCTGAGGGACAGCGGACTGTCCCCCTGCTGAAAATGTTTGCTGACCCCTCTTGCAGTTCAATTATGGCCTATTCAAGAGATCACAGTCAGAATCTATTTTCTGGTAACTTCAACACCAGTCTGTTTTAGAGAGACTGGTAAGAGCGGGGTGCTGCTGTTTTTTAAAACACAATTGTATCTTACCATCAAACTCTGGGAAATAATCCACGAGATGAGAGTACATTATCTTGTCTTCCAACAGATCCTTCTTGTTGAGGAAAAGGATGACGGAGGAGTTCTGGAACCAGGGATAGGTGATGATGGTCCTGAAAAGGGCTTTGCTCTCCTCCATACGGTTCTGCCAGGAGAAAAAGAGGGGTTCGAGGTGTCACGGTTGCAACAAGGTAAGAGATGAAATGGTATGTGTGTGTTGTTAAAGCAGTAGAGAGAACAGGCATACTTTTACACCAGGCAGCCTCAGCTAGGGGCCACTGGTACCACCAGGACAATGAAGAAACAAGGGCCGAGTACAAAGACCTTGCCCAAAATCATATTAAAACCTTATCTGGCTTAACGTGGCAAACAGGAGATAGCCAATGCCCAGCTGCTCGCCTTTTCTGTTATCGCCACATTTTCACCTGTGCCCGAGATTTCACCTGTAGCTACTTTCAAACTACAGTGGTACCTCGGGTTAAGTACTTAATTCGTTCCAGAGGTCCGTTCTTAACCTGAAACTGTTCTTAACCTGAAGCACCACTTTCGCTAATGGGGCCTCCTGCTGCCGCTGCATGATTTCTGTTCTCATCCTGAAGTGAAGTTCTTAACCTGAAGCACTATTTCTGGGTTAGTGGAGTCTGTAACCTGAAGCTTATGTAACCTGAAGCGTATGTAACCCAAGGTACCACTGTATGCCAGTAACGTTTAGCAAATAAGGAGTTGCGCAATCTCACGCAGGTCAGGGAAGGAGAGCCAGTGTTGCAGGACTACAATTCCCATCATTCCTGACCCCTCTAGGCTGCTGGGGATTGCTAGCATCCTAAAGGCCATGCGTTCCCACCCCTGCCCTAGTTAATTGAGAGAGAAAGAAAGAGAAAACACAGCTTTGTGGGTTGCGCACAGTATTTCAATTAAATTTTTTCCAGTTTGCACCAGAAAATTTTCCAACGGGATCTCAATGAGTCCATTTATTTTACTTGCATTGAGGCAACAAAATGAAGAGCTTTGAAACCACCAAGCTTACCTAACAGAGTATCTGCAACTGGCACCCATTCATTTTGACAGATGAAAACTTAAGGAATGGGAGATTTTCCACCCCACACGATGGGTAGGAGATATTTTTATTGTCACCCCCCCCCACCCCCGCAAAACGTTCCCTCTCTGGGGTGATGTACAGTAAAGCTGAATCGCAAATTAAAAATATGAGATTCAAATAAAGGTAAAGGTAAAGGTACCCCTGCCCGTACGGGCCAGTCTTGACAGACTCTAGGGTTGTGCGCCCATCTCACTCAAGAGGCCGGGGGCCAGCGCTGTCCGGAGACACTTCCGGGTCACGTGGCCAGCGTGACAAAGCTGCATCTGGCGAGCCAGCGCAGCACACGGAAACGCCGTTTACCTTCCCGCTGGTAAGCGGTCCCTATTTATCTACTTGCACCCGGGGGTGCTTTCGAACTGCTAGGTTGGCAGGCGCTGGGACAGAACAACGGGAGCGCACCCCGCCGTGGGGATTCGAACCGCCGACCTTTCGATCGGCAAGCCCTAGGCGCTGAGGCTTTTACCCACAGTGCCACCCGCGTCCCTTGAGATTCAAATAATCTGGTCCAAATCCAGGACCAGCAGAGAGCAGAACATGCTCCTGCCAAACGGCTGAACGCAGAGAGAGCTAAAACAACCTTGGTAAAGGGCTAACAACTGCCGCAGAAAGCGGAGAGTGCTATTTATTTCTCAAATTCAGGCCCTGCGATACAACCAAACCTGCCAAGGCAACTAAGTATGCCAGCAAGGTTTCAAAAAGCAAACTCCCCACCCCCAAAAGCAGACTCCTTCCACCTCACCCTGCTCTCTGTCAGGGGACTGATTCTAGAAGGCATGCTAAATTTGGAAGGAACAGTAGCCCCATTTCCTCTGACCCAGGTGAAATCTAGTTCCCCCCACGGGTGCGCATAATTTCATCCAGTTTCTGACAGTCTGCAGACGAGTCTACGGGCTCCTATGGGAGTGGGGAGGAAGGAGGGAGAGAGAGAACCGACTCAAAAGCGCGGTCGGGCACATTTCAGCCTTGCGGAAGCTATTTTAGCAGGTTCCAGAGACACACCAACAGGAACCTGGTGCAAAATAGTGGCTTGGCAGGGGAGTAGAGTCCAGGAACAGCATGCGCACTCAGACTAACAATTTCCTTTCAGCACAAGAACTGAGTACACAGTCCTTTCACACTCCCGGGTCCTTCTCCTCTCGCCCTTGCTCCCACAGCTTTCTTCATTTCACCAGTCCAACCGAGAGGAGGCCGGGACAATTTTTTGTTCCCGCTATTGCTAAACACAGCTGGAAGCCAAGAACCCTCGCAGCTCTTCTGCAAATCACCCAGCAGTGGATGGGGTGGGCAGCTGGCGCCAACAGCGGCTTCTGCCGACCCCCAACTTGAGAGCAATGGCCGCACAGAAGAGCGGGCAACTGTGCCACGTGGTCCCCTTTCAAAAACACCCCGCAATTAAAAAACTCCTTTTAACAGGGATGCAGGGGGAGATGGAGGCTTCCTGCCGCAGTTACATCTAGGCCACTGCGGTGTATGCTTTAAAGCAGCTGTTCTGATAGAGCGGTCCATCGGCAGTCAGGTTTTCTTCACTCCCAAAGTCTTAAAAGGTAAAGGGACCCCTGACCATTAGGTCCAGTCGTGGCTGACTCTGGGGTTGCGGCGCTCATCTCGCTTTATTGGCCGAGGGAGCCGGCGTACAGCTTCCGGGTCATGTGGCCAGCAGGACTAAGCCTCTTCTGGCGAACCAGAGCAGCGCACGGAAATGCCGTTTACCTTCCCGCCTATTTATCTACTTGCACTTTGACGTGCTTTCGAACTGCTAGGTTGGCAGGAGCAGGGACCGAGCAACGGGAGCTCACCCCGTCATTGCGGGGATTCGAACCGCGACCCTCTGATCAGCAAGCCCTAGGCTCTGTGGTTCAGACCACAGCGCCACCCGTGTCCCCCAAAGTCTTTAGCCCGGGGCAAATTGAATAAGACACGAAAAAGCCTACTGTGATGCGTTAGGAAAGCCCTGCTAGGCTACCTTTACTAAGTAGCATTACTTGCAACTTGCAGATCTGTTCGCGTGGACATTGCCCTCTGTTGGAAGTTTTGTCCTTCTCAATGCACCCACCAGTACCAGCCGGGTTTCACCCCACTTTTTTCCCCCCAATAAAAGGAAAAGGAAAATTTTAAGCAGTGCAAGAAAACAAAAGCAGAAACAACTGGTGTCAGGCAAGCGCCAGGAGGGCTCAAGCTATGCCTGGCTGCCAAAGCTGTGTTACGAGTGTGTACACAGGGCTGGTCCCTCACCCTTTCATGTGCAAGGAGCGTGTACGGCAAGGCTGGGGGGGGGGGAGAGGGAAGAGCCACCGACAGTTTGCCGAGACTTCCGTCTTAGAGAAATCCTGCACCCTTCCAGGACCCTCGGAGCTTAACACGAATGCAGGGAAAGCCTTCCCTGCCCCTCCTGTGGGGCACAGATGGTCAAGTCGGGAGGCCCAGTGGACACCCCTGGCCCACACCCAACGTTTTATTACTGCTCGCGCCCCTCCCTGCACAGATGGGAAACGAGCCGTCGTCGCTGCTGCTTCTAGCACAAAATGAGAGGTTGCCGCAGACATCTGGCACCACGGAGAACTCCGAGGTGCCCTTTCATTTTGGACGGGAGGGGCGCCCTTTTCGGTCTGCAGGAACCACTTGCCAAGCAAGAGCACGTCACCCTCTGCAGCACCCCCCCCCTTTGCAAGTTTTGAGGGACATGTATAGTATTTTGGGGGGTGTGGGGAAGATGACTCCTCCCTGGAGAATACATTCAGAGCCGGCACACAGACACACACCCCTCTCCCTCAAGCAGATCAGTTCCCGAAATGTCTAGCCACCCAGGGTGAAGAATGTGGCTCACTGCTACTTTAGGTGGTTGGGAAACAGACAGATAAGTCCTGGCCCACAGCACACCAGTGGCTGACAACCCCAAACATTTTAGAAACAGTTCCAGAATCTGCAAATGCACCTTTCTGCCACTGCTGGGACCACCCAACGGCCACACGCCGCCCCTTACGTGCTGCGAGGGCTTGTGCTTACCTCATTATCCGACTCCACCAGAACTTGGTCATATTCACTAAGAGCTACTAGGAACATGATGGAGGTTACGTTTTCAAAGCAGTGTATCCATTTCCTCCGTTCTGACCTCTGACCCCCAACATCCACCATTCTGAAAGGGAGAAAAAGGGCAGGTCTTCTTTAACACACACACAAACACACAGGCCATTAAGTTAAAAATGCAATACGCCATTTTATACTTGCTTTTGGGTTGGAGGGAAGAGAGAAAAGACTGAGCAGGAACAAGTCTGAGGTTTGTTTGCTCCCCCCCACCTTTTGGAAGACATCACCCCTACCCCTCATGGGCCAAACTGGACATGTGGACACGAGGAACCACCCAGCAATGCCCGACAAAACCATGACATCAAGTGATGCTCGTCGGGGCTTCAATGCACCACACAGGGTTTCCGAGGAGTGCTGAACAGTGCTCTGAAGCACCGCTGATCAGCAGGGCTCGACCGCACTGTCTACCAGCTGGAGGGCGGTGGCTTCAAGCCTGTTTTCTGCAGGAATCGGTTCTCCATGAGGAGAACTGTCAAAGGCACTTCCGAGTACCTGCCCTCTGGAACTCCCTGCCTATTGACACCAGGACACTGCACTCTTTTTCAGTGCCTGCTAAATACATTTTTGCATAGACAAGCCTACCCAGATGTTGTGGAGCGTTTTCATCTGTTTTCAGTTTAGTTTTGAACTGTTCGAAAGTCTTAAATCATTATCCATTTATTGTATTAACAATTTTATTGTTTTGGAAAACCGCTTTGAGGTTCTATACAAATCAAGTGGTAAAATCAAGAGGTGTATAAATTTTAGGAAACTAACTAGCACCCCATTAACCACAGGCAACAGGGACTATCGGTATTAGTGGTCAGGGAAAAGCCTAGACCAGAACTTTCCAAACTGTGTGTTGTGGCACGCTAGTGTGCCAGTTAGGTGTGTCGCGCAAACGCTCCCCACGCTGGAAAGGGTTTAGTTCAACCTCTGCTTTGTTAGTACAGTGGTACCTCGGGTTACATACGCTTCAGGTTACATACTCCGCTAACCCAGAAATAGTGCTTCAGGTTAAGAACTTTGCTTCAGGATAAGAACAGAAATCGTGCTCCGGCGGCGTGGCGGCAGCAGGAGGCCCCATTAGCCAAAGTGGTGCTTCAGGTTAAGAACAGTTTCAGGTTAAGAACGGACCTCCAGGATGAATTAAGTACTTAACCCAAGGTACCACTGTAAAACCTAATCACTGTGTCACGAAATGATGCATGCCTAAAAAGTGTGCCTCCAACAGGAAAAGTTTGGAAAGCTCTGGCCTAGAAAAAGAGGCTTCAATCGATTGGGGGGGACGACGACCAACAGTTGCTGTCCACCCGGTATCAGGAGGAAGGGCATTCCACATGTTAAGAGCTGGTTTTAGAGGCAGGCGTGCCTCTGAGTACCAGCTGCTGCAGAACCAAAGTGGGGTGCTTGCAGGTTCCGACAGCACAATCTGGATCTTCAAGAAGATGGGTCTTTGGCCTCACCCGGCTGCAGGGCTTTTCTTATGTCCTTGGGACTACACCGCTACAGATGGGTTGTGGCGGTGGCTCAGGGTTTGTGGAGAGCCTTCAAAGACGCAGGCCACACTGTCTCTTCACGGGAGAAAACCCTCTGCTGCCTTTGCTCCTGCCAACAGCACGACTTGTTGACTCGGAAGAGGGAAGAAAGGGTCGGAAGCAGTAGCAGTGTGACCGACTTTCCAGAAGCCCGCCAACTCAACGCCTTAACTGAGCTGGGCTTTCATTTTAAATGGAAGCAGCTTTGGGGGGAGTATGTGAAACGTAAAAAAAACGCTCCGAGGAAAGAAAGAAAGAAAAAAGCCACTGGAAATTACCTGAAGATAATGTTCTCTAAGTCGAAGGGGTATTCTATGATCCCAGTTGTCGGGACTCTGACCCGCAGGACGTCTTGCTGGGTTGGGAGGTACCCTGGCAGGGCGATACGATCCACGTCGGTAAGGTAGCTGCAAGGAGGTGGTGCAGGGGGAAAAGATGAAGGTGGCCTGAGCTTGCTTGCCATGTGTCGCGCTCCTGACCCGAGAGCCTCAGCATTTTGAGTATGGAACCTCAATTATTCCACTCCTGGGGGTGTTTTTTTCTGCATGCAAAATCCTCAGGAATCCCGTTCAGCCCTTGAGATTCAACAAAGCCCAACACCCGCTTTTCCGACATTACCTTGCCTCTAATAGTATTGCCGTATTTTTTGCTCTGTCAGACTCACTTTTCCCCTCCTAAAAAGTAAGGGGAAACGTGTGTGCGTCTTATGGAGTGAATGCAGGCTGTGCAGCTATCCCAGAAGCCAGAACAGCAAGAGGGATTGCTGCTTTCGCTGCACAGCAAATATTTTTTTTTCTTGTTTTCCTCCTCCAAAAACTAGGTGCGTCTTATGGTCTGGTGCGTCTTATAGAGCAAAAAATACGGTACATTTTCTAAGTGTGCAGCTTCACGCCTGCAAAGCAATCTTCCTTCTCATGGGTCCTAATGCTCCCAGGAGTCTACCCTTGCCATGCCCTAAAGGAACGCTTTTCTAAGTCCCTGGTCCACCACTCCTTAGAGCAGATTTGCAGGGAAGGAAGAACGAGCCACAAAGGAAGGAAGCTACAGAAACAGTTCAGAGCCCTCCCTCCTGCCCGGGGTGGGGTGGAGTGGTCCATAATTCTGAATTGAGTTCCCCTATAAGCTGGCACCAGCATTCTTCCTTCCGACTGTGAAGAGCAAAACGGTGGCACAGCACCTCACCCCATTTTATTACGCCTTGGCTGGATGGGGCAAGCAGCTAAGGTGAATGATTCTGAGGATGCTCATGTTAACCTCTGCTTATAATCGTGGGGGGTGGGAAGGCTCTGGAAGACTAAACTGAGCTGCCAGCCCCTCTCTTCCACTGGATCAAGCGTTGGGCAGGAGGCAGATTTGGAGCAATAAGCGTTTCTGAGCAATACTGCACTACTCCCATAAAGTTTAGTTCTACAGGCATCTTCCTCACAAACTTAAAAACTATTAGATGCTGCAGCTTCTACAACACTATTACATCTACATCTAAACATCCACACCACAATTCCAGGCCACCTTTCTCTAATGTTTACCGCCCTGGAGAAGACTACAAAGCAACTAAGCGGCTTGTTACTTCCAGATTATTCCCACTACCTGAGATTTCCACCTCGTAGCTTCGCCATTCTGAAAGCTCAGGGAGGGCAGGACCGAAAAGAAAATACTCATTAAACTTCATTTATAGCATGTGCCTAAAGAGACTGCAAGGTAACTAACAGTGCAAAATCAATTAAAGCCACATAAAATGGGTTTCTAAAGTCCACCCCCAGCCCCCACAACCAGTAGCAAGAACTACAACCACCCCCCTTCCTCCTTGGAGCAGTTTGACGGCAACAACTAAAACACGAAGTTACTTTCTTTCCTCCTGGCCCCCATCCACCCCCCACCAACTGTCAGAGGCACAATTTCATTTAGGGAGGGGAGCCCAGCGACCCAACATGACGCCGTGCAGCTGCAACCGTGCTGAGAGCCGTACAGAGAGGACGGCGAGCTCTTACTATTTAGCAGAGTCGGAGAGCTGGTATTCTCGCCGCCGGTCGTAACACTCCTGGATGCCCGGGTCGTTCCACAACGTCTTAATTGCACTTATGTAGGGCTGCTCAAAGGACGAGACCTTTTCTACGTCCACTTCCCGGATCAGGAGTGCGTTGGCCTGCAGCGCGGCGCGGAGGAGAAAACAAGAGGGGCTTAAAAGAGGCTGACCCTGAGGGCCCTCCTCCCCGCCTAGCATGTATCCCATTCCACCCCCCGCCTTCCTTTACTGCTCCATAGCTGGAGATCCAGTCCCGGCTGCTACAAATCCATTCCGGCATTGCCTGCACAAAGCAAGCAAATGTATACATACCATCTTTTTAACAACAAGACCACAGCTTTGGGCTTATGTTTTTTTTAAAAAATGAAGAGCAGTATGTACTGTCTTTACTCAAGTCTAATATGCGCCCTAATTTTTGCAATGTAATTTGGCAAAAAAAGGGGCGTGAATTAGACACTACGAGCAAATATCGCCCAGCCCTAGTGACCTCTCTCCTTTGACCAATGGGCTGAGGCGCCGCTGCACTGCTCGGTTCTGCCAGCCCCTTGCAGCCTCAGCGTAGCTTGCCTGCCCGCCCGCTGGTGCCTTGGGCTCCGCTGCAAGGCAAGGCGCTTGGCCGCGTTTGGGCAGCCTGAGAGCGCCAGCCATGAAGCTAGTAAAATAGGAGGCAAGCTCTCCCTGCAAGACGGCCAGCCTGGAGGTAGAATCTGGCCCGGGCACAACCAATCCACACCTGGGAGTACTTTATTTACTTGAATGTAATGCGCACCCTAACCTTCGCAACGTAATTTGGCAAAAAGAGAGAGGTGTGCATTAGATTTGAGTAAATACAGGTACAGCAAATAATCATTAATTGAACTACTACGTCAACAGCAACACTGTTACCAGGAAAGCCTTCGACCCTGCCCCTGGCCACCCCACTATTCAATAATGTGCTGTGTTTGTGCCCCACCAGGCACAGGGTAAAGGAGACTGGTGAGAGTCATGGAGCTTACTGGGTGTGGCCAATGTCCCTCAGACTAACCTACCGCATAGGGCTGTTGTGGAGAAATGGAGAGAGGGAGAACCATACATACCACCTTGAGCTCCTTGGGGGAAAGGTAGGATATAAATAATAATAATAATAATAGGTAAAAAGGTAAAGGACCCCTGGATGGTTCAGTCCAGTCAAAGGCGACTATGGGGTTGCGGCGCTCATCTCGCTTTCAGGCTGAGGGAGCCGGCGTTAGTCCGCAAACAGCTTTCCGGGTCATGTGGCCAGCAGGACTAAACTGCTTCTGGCGCAACGGGACACTGTGACGGAAACCAGAGCGCATGGAAATGCCGTTTACCTTCCTGCTGCAGCGGTACCTATTTATCTACTTGCGCTGGCATGCTTTCGAACTGCTAGGTTGGCAGGAGCTGGGACGGAGCAACAGGAGCTCACGGGGATTCAAACCACCGACCTTCTGATTGGCAAGCCCAAGAGGCTCAGTGGTTTAGACCACAGCGCCACCCGTGTCCCTGTTAATAATACAGTCAAACCTTCCCAAACGCCTCGACTTTGGAACGTTTCAGCTCCCAAATGCCGAAGACCCAGAAGTAAGTGTCCCGGTTCTCAAATGTTTTTCAGAAGCCGAACATCCGATGTGGCTTCCACTTGCGTGCAGGAAGTTCTTGCAGCCAATTGGAAGCCACGGCTCGGTTGACAAACGTTTTGAAAGCCGAGCGGGCTTCCAGAACGGATTATGTTCGACAACAAAGGTTTGACTGTAATAATAACAATAAGAAGAAGAAGAACACAGCGCTTGAACTATTCTGGTTGCTACAGGTGTGATGCTGGTCCCTGAACATTCGACATCCTAGCGGGGGTTGATGCAAGCAGTTCAGGGAATCCTGAGCAGCACGCATGCCACTACAGACAACCAACGTCGAGACAACAGGGGTGGAGGCTGTGTATAGGCTGGGATGCAGGAATGGGAGCTGCATCGGTTCACCTTGTTCTGTTCATACTTGTACAGGATCTTCAAGGTCTCCATGGCCCTGATCATCGACTGCATGGCAGTGAAGATGTTCTGGTACACCAGCTTGGTGAAACCCTTCTTGTCCTCCTCGGAGTAGCCCGAGCCATGGATTATCCGCATCTGTTTAATGAACGTGCTCTTCCCGCTCTCTCCCGTGCCTGGAGAGTAAATAGGTGGGGCAGGGTGAAAGGGACACAAGAAGACGACAAGGCAGTCAGTGTGGGAGCATCACAAAGGGAGCAGAGCCAGCGCTGCGTTACGACCGACAGCAAGCAGTTTGCTTCCACATTCAACTTCTAGCAACGCCTCACTGCATATTACTCCGGGGGGGGGGGGATACTAAACTGCTGCTGCTTTGTTTCCCCAGCCTGTGAAGAGGAGGAGCTGCTATCCCATCTCTCACTCCTTCCCCTTGACGAAAGGAACATTTTATGGAGGAGAAAAGCTGAATTTTATTCCTAAATCAGACTGTTGCCATGGTGAACCTAGTGTGTGTATGTGTGTGTGTCTACGCGTGTGATGGGTGGGTGGGGGAGCATTTTGCACACACCAGTAGCACAATAGCTATGGGGTTTTTTTGGGGGGGGAGGAATCTAGTACGGCCCGTGAAAGTGGTTCTGAGACCTGGTATGGATGTTCTGACTATGACTTGGGTTGGATCACCATCTTTCCATTGCACAGGCAGGCACAAAGGAAGGCTGACAGCCAATTAAACCATTTTAATCATCTTCTGGGTTTTGAGCACCCCACCTTAAAAAAGCAAAACCTAGAAAGAGAACACACTTCCAATTTGCGTCTGAAAATGGCTTCATCTTCAGAAGGAAGGGGGGCTAAAAACCGTGCTCACTGTAACCTGTAGCTTGGCTGCTGTTCGTCGTCAGAACAAGAGGCAAGCTTTTTTAAGATTTTCATGCCCTATTACAGTTAAAAAGTACCACAACCAGGTGCTTTGTTAACCCAAAAAGAGCTGGTGTAACCTACTGGCTTAAGAATGTAAAGTGGGAAGTCCACTATTATAATCTTATCTCAAGGTATTTGTTTAGAAAGGCAGTTGTGGGATGTGCGAAGAGAAAGACTTTTAAAGATCAAGATCAGGCCACCGCCAAGTGGCCGGAGGGGCAGAACCCTGAGTATTTGTGGCACAGCCTGGTGCTTTAAAAATGATTTTTGCTCAAATGTTGGGACTGAGGCTGCAATTTAAAGTGGGGGGGGGGGGTGGAGAGGGAGAACCCCAGCTTTTGTTGTTGCAGGGGAAAATGGCACCCTGGCAGACAATTACTAAAAATAAATCCCTACACTCACCCACCTTAATAGGCCTAGGAGACTAGTCATCTGCAATAAATCCTTGCCTCTTCCTTGTCAGATCACTCGGAAGTGGCTTTTTCAAGCTTTTGAACTGAGTGCTTTCAGTTTTCTTACAGGCAAAGCGTTCAGCATCTCTTCCCATCCACCCCTACAGAATCTCAGGCTTGAAATCTTAGCTTCCCTCTCCTCCTAGTTCTCTGATTCAATCTGTCACCAAGTGGCCAAACATAGGCTAGAAGTTTCTACGTGTAAGAGCAGTTCTGGACCCGACCAAAGGCCCACCCAGTCAAACACAGTGACTAACCAGATGCCTAAGGGAAGCCCACAAGCCTGAGGACACTAGTGCAACACACACACACACACACACACACACACACACCTCCCCTCCCTACCCATCTAAGAAAACAAGAGGCACCACGCAACTCAAAGCACTTAATAGCAGCTGCATCCTCACCAAAAACTCCTGAGGCAGCTCAGAATGTTTAAGAACCAGAGCAACCACAAGTCACTCGATAAAGAGTTAACAGAGACACCTTTACTAAAATGACAAAATTCTGAAGAATCTTTTGAGTTAGCCGTTATCAAAATCACAAAGCAATCTGCATGAAAAAGCCATTTCTGTCTACAGTGGGGGCTGAAAAAATACTTCCAAATCTAATTAGCCAGAATCAAAACTTTATGAGACAATATCTTCTCTGTCACCCCTTTAACCCACTTCCCTCCCCAGAGAGTCACCCTTGCATAAACTGAATAATCTGAAGCAATTACTAGGCCACAACATCAAATTTTCAAGCTCATGGGTTCAGAGTAGGTCTCATAATATACCTAAAGAGGGATTTGCTCCCCGCCCCCCAGCCCACGTGGGCTACCTGCGGAGAGGAAGCCTTCCCACATTGAGCCTGGCATGGTGGTTTTCCTGGAGCCGAGAAACCTGCACCAACAAAGCAGGTTCATGGATTGGCTTGGGACCCAGGCTCCTAAATAAAGCACCTTCCCCATCTGAGATGCTACGATCAGCAGGTGAGCAACCTTGCAGGTGATGCCGCCACTGGGGGGCTGCCTGGTTGGCAGGGCCTTCTCTTTGGCACCTCCCAGTTTGTGGAATGCCCTTAGACTTTCAAGAGGAATTTAAAAACATTCCTCTTTATGAAGGCATTCAAGGGCTGCAAGGTACTGTTCCTGGCAACCGTGGCTGAGATAATGCGATTGCTAAACTGTTTTTAGAATGCACTGATATTGTGAGAGCTGGACCATAAAAAGGCTGATTGCCAAAGAATGGATGCTTTTGAATTCTGGTGCTGGAGGAGACTCTTGAGAGTCCCATGGACTGCAAGAAGATCAAACCTCTCCATTCGGAAGGAAATTAGCCCTGAGTGCTCACTGGAAGGAAAGATCCTGAAGCTGAGGCTCCAATACTTTGGCCACCTCATGAGAAGAGAAGACTCCCTGGAAAAGACCCTGATGTGGAGGGCACAAGGAGAAGGGGACGACAGAGGACGAGATGCCTGGACAGTGTTCTTGAAGCTGTTAACATGAGTTTGACCAAACTGCGGGAGGCAGTGGAAGACAGGAGTGCCTGGCGTGCTCTGGTCCATGGGGTCACAAAGAGGCGGACACGACTAAATGACTAAACAACAGCAACAATTGCCAACCTGGACTCCTTTGGGTGGAAGGGTGGAATATAACTTTACTAAATTAATAATAAGGCAAACACAAAAAGCGATTTATTTTTTTGCCTCAGACACCCACAAATATTGTGTGGATTGGGGCAAGATGGGGGGGGGGGGAGCTGCATGCCACGGGGGCAAGCCCTGAAGCCCTTCTCTGCAGGAGTTAAGATGTGCAGAGGGCTCGAGCCAACAGGAAATCTATGAGCCACCTTAAACTGGCGTTCACCACCACTCTGCATAACCAACAGTAACGTGCGGTTGAACATTTTATATATTTTTTCCACTGCTTGTTTTCCCACAGAAAAATGAGTTTCTTATGTTCATTAGCAACAGCGGATGGATGTCGATTACAAATAAAATATTAAGCAAACTTGGCAGCTTGCAACTTTGTTGCTTCGTTTACTAAATACAAAGAAAACAAACGTGTTAAATTGGGTCACTCTAGGGCACTGGGACATCTCCCTTCACAAACTGGGAGATTTCCCCAGCCGCTCGATTACCCAACTCGAATCACCCTAAGTTGCACAGGGGAAATTTTCCCAATTCAGAAATTTCCGGAAAGTCGACACCACTGGCCACTGGTTTCAATTGCTGCAAGACAAACGCCGCTCCTAAAGTTCAGGCCTCAGAAAGGAGTTGTGCTCAGTCCCTTATTCAGGCACAGATGCAAACAGCCTTGTGATTGGCAGCCAGTTACGAGCTCTCTGACTTGCCCAGGCCTGGTATATCAATAGTAGGAGGAGCCTGGCCTTCTATTCTCCCCTGGTCAACCGAGAAACACCCTCCTGCCTGCATGAAGTTGCCTGCAAGTTGTCTGCAAAGATCCTGGATTAGACAACATCCACTCCAAGTTATGGCTGCCAGCTGACTTCCCCTCTGGAAAACAGAGCCAGCAACTCACGGATATGTTTACGTGAGTTCAGAACTTCTCCTCCTGCACGTATGTGGACTTCTGACAAACGCTTCCAAAGAATACCCCACCTCTCCGCCGATGAAGCAATTATTTCCCATATTTCTCATACCCGGAATACCATTTATTCAATGGGGGGTGGGGTAGGGGAAGAACAGAACCTGAAATGCACGTTTATAGAGTTTTCTCAAGTTGCTCGCAGAACAACCAGCCAGGCTTTATCTTTGCAAATTCAGGGCAGTCCCAATTAATATTCCCCATTCTGTCCTCCCCAATTGCCCAGTCAGGGCACATGAATTGCATGTTTATCACAGCGGAAGTGGGTCTTCAGGGAGACTGCAACAGAGGAACGCCCGTATATCATGATCTGCTTATCTACTGGCAGAGAGGCCTATAATCATCGAATTGTAGAGTTGGAAGGGACCACAAAGGTCATCTGGTCCAACCCCCCACAATGCAGGAATCTTCTGCCCAATATGGGGTTGGAACCCATAATCCTGAAATTAAGAGTCTCGTGCTCTACTGACTGAGCTATCCCTGCTCCAAACACACACACAGCAGTGCCCTAGCGGCTGGCGATGTGGGTTTTCCAGAAAATGTTTTCCACTGCCTAATACAGATCAATATCTGATCTTGCATGTTTATTTGGCAAACAAAGCAAATATATATATTATATATATATATATATAGGATGCCGTGTTCATTTTGATTAAGGAAGGAAGGAAAAAGAGCAACGAAATACCCAAGAAAAATACAAGGGGAAAAAGAGGTGTGGTTTAAATTATGGACAAATTCAGAGATTTACTTGGAAATTCTCTCATTAGAATATTTGTAGCTAATTTAAGGCATGGCAGCTGAACTGCCTATACTTCTAAGGTGGCTGCTATTTTTAAAATGGAGGCACTGAACACAGGTGAGACGATAAACTCTGTACATTGTTTCAGGCATCACTTTTAAAACTCTCTCGGGATAAAATTTGACAGGTAATGAATCCCTACATATAACTTCTCAAGCAGTGTCAAGGGGCAAGCACCTAGGGTGCACAGAGGTGACCAGTGGAGGACAGACAGAGTGACTGCTCCATCCTTTGTCCATTTGGTTGCCATTCTAACTAGCCCACCAGCCTCTCAGGAGACTAGTAAATAATTCCACAGCCTAGTGACAAGGCTGTGAGAATGTATAAATTCCAACTGCCAGGTCTGACCGATACCTGTTACAGGTTCACAATTTTATGCAATAATTGAATGAAATACCGTGTTTCGAAAGAAAGGAA